GCCAACGAGTTGACTGACTGAGATGACTAGCCGATACACCACCTGTGCCCCCTGCTGTGCCAGGCTAGGTGCAGGAGGTCACGGGACAGACCCAGCAGGTGCCAATGAGTTGACTGAGATGACTGGCCGATGCACCACCTGTGCCCCCCCTTACTGTGCCAGGCGGCACCTTCCCCATTCCTTCCATCACAGATAAACCCTCACCGCTGTGTTTTTTATTAAGCAAATCTCTATCGCAGCGTTCAAGAGCAGTTAAATTACTCTCATTAATGATTAACGGGGAGAAGACATCAAGAGCGAATCGAAAACTCCGTAAATTATGGCATGAGAACGATGCAGAGGGGTCTTCATTCCCGCATCATCGAGCAAAAAGACCGCATCGCATTCACTCAGTTGTCCCGAGTTCTGTGGTTATTTTCCCCTCCGTCGTTGAAGTTGTGACGTTCTTTTACTGATCGTTCGTTTCTCAGTCCGCTTGTGCTGGTGAGAGTCGCCGCGGCAGCAGCGCGTTGACTCGTGGCGGTCCACACCTGCCTTGCCTGGCGACGGACTCCAGCACTACTGCAGTAATATACACTACACTATACACTACACTATACACTACTATACACTACTACACTATACACTACTATACACTACTACACTATACACTATTACACACTACTACACGATATACTACGACACACTACTACACTATACACTACTACACTATACACTACACTATACACTACTATACACTACACTATACACTACTACACTATACACTACTACACTATGCACTACTACACTATACACTACTATACACTACTACACTATACACTACTACACTATACACTATTATACACTACTACACTATACACTACTACACTATACACTACTACACTATAGACTACACTATACACTACACTATACACTACTACACTATAGACTACACTATACACTACACTATACACTACTACACTATACACTACTACGCTATAGACTACACTATACACTACACTATACACTACACTATACACTACTACACTATAGACTACACTATACACTACTACACTATACACTACTATACACTACTACACGATACACTACGACACACTACTACACTATACACTACACTATACACTACACTATACTATACACTACTACACTATACACTACTACATTATACACTACTACACTATACAGTACTACACTATACACTACTATACAATACTACACCTACACTACTACACTATACACTACTATACACTACTACACTATACACTACTACATTATACACTACTACACTATACACTACTACACTATACACTACTATACACTACTACACTACTACACTATACACTATTGCGCACTACTACACGATATACTACTACACACTACTACACTATACACTACTACACTATACACTACTACACTATAGACTACACTATACACTACACTATACACTACTACACTATAGACTACACTATACACTACACTATACACTACTACACTATACACTATTACACTATAGACTACACTATACACTACTACACTATACACTACTACACTATAGGCTACACTATACACTACTACACTATAGACTACACTATACACTACTACACTATACACTACTACACTATAGACTACACTATACACTACTATACACAGACTCGAGCTCTTCCTGGGGAATTCCCAGGCATTCCCAGGGCAGCCGAGCGACGTCGTCTCACCAGCAGCGTTGTGATTCACAATTTTATTTTTTTTGGGCCACATGGAGTGACTAAAACGTTGCGGTCCTCACCGGACGCAGCCAATTAATAAAGATGTCCACGGCGTTTAATAATAATTTGTTGGATCGCTCTCCAACGTACCGGTGTGCCGAATCAGTGATATGATTGGCACATTTGTTCACGGATAACTTTATTAACCAACTGTGTCGGGTGGAGGAGGGTGCACGACGCGATCTGAAGCAACAACCCAAAAAAACTCACGCAATTATGAAACACGGTGATCCATTTATAGATACACCGTGTGTTTCTAAGCCTCGATATGGGTCACCACCAATCTCAACACACCGATTAAACCTCGCAGCGCCTCCGTGAGAAATTGAGCCATCGCTTTCACAACATGCAATCGCCTGTCGAGAAGAAATTAGGAGGGGCATTATAAACCAGTGGGATGGATTGCAATGGATCGCCATGTATTTTCCACGTAGAACCATGGATATGCATTCACCCTACTCGCAGCCATACGGGAGTGCCATAGTACAGGGGATGCCTATTCATTGTACAGCACTATTGGCAATCTGCTGCTGGTTGAGGGCCTTCCCGTGCCGTGCGGGTCGTGGCGGTTGTTTGACCATACTTCACCACGCTGGTGAGTGTGGGCTGGCGATGCGGGCAGCATATACGTGGGAACGTGGCACAGTAGTAGAACAATGGATTCATAATATAGGGGGGTGGGATTTGAGGTTAGATCGCGTAAATATATAAATGTGCCATTAAACCCTCCACCACCCGACACAGCCACTTAGTAAGGTTTGTCACGTAAACAGAACGTGGCAATGCGTTACTAATACAGCCACTCCGGTGTGTGAAATCCACAACGTTTACAATCCGAGTACGACGTTTCGCCAGTAATTACAACTAGCATCATCAGGCGGACAGACAGATTTGTCAATTGATTGTTGGACCAATGAATTGTTCTGCGCAGGCGCCTCTGATGTCCGTAACGTAGCCTGCGTCGGCCTGTACAGCGACTCGTGTCATGCATGCGGTTCGCCCACCGAAGAGCGATTACAGGCTCCAACTTGCTTAGCCTGCTGGATCTGACCACGAATCGGGCGTGTTCCGGGTGAATGCAAGCACGCCTCTGACGACAATGCGGCTCCCTTGTGATTAAACGAACCACCGAGTGACACTTGCAAGCGCTCTCTTTTCCGAGACCCGATCTGCCCCCCCCCGCCCCCCATCGCTTCTTCTTGAATTCAAAGCCCGGAGTCCAACTGAGCTTCAGCGACTTAGCGACCCGGGGTGGAACCGCGACCGAAAGTCGTCAGCGCTTGGAGCCTGTTGGGTCCGACGCGGTCGTTGTTGTTAAGAGAGTCGATTCCACGTCGTTTTACGCTGCACGTGTCTCATGATCGCTCCAATATATATCTCCCACGTGGCATGGATACAATTCCCGCTCACAGCCAATATATATATCTCCCACGTGGCATGGATACAATTCCCGCTCACAGTCAAGATTATCGAAACCGGTCCTGGGCCTCCCCTAGGTCGTCTCAGCCTTGATTGAGTAGTGTAACTCCTGCGATGTGTAAACATCGCCATTGGGGAGACAAAGGCAGTCGGGCGTGGTGCTGGTCACCCCACCCCCTCGTGTGCCGTCTCGGTCTTCATTAGGTGCCCGCTAACAGCACTTGCCCCTACAGTCTGTTAAGGCTACACGGGAGATCTTTGTGTGTGTGAGTCCCACGTGATGCAGAGAGGGCCCTGAAATCTGGGCAAGCATGATCTTCGTCAGGTGGGACGCATTTGGCAATCATCAGGCGCGCGCAGCGTGTAAAGAAGCTACGTGTTGTATGTTGACGAATATTGGTGAACGTGAGTCGCGAGGATACGTGCGTGTATAGATCAACACATCGTTTAAATTCACAAACATTGTGTAAAGTATTAACTGTTGGTGACACAGTGTGGGCGGTGGTGCACAAGCACAACAGAGCCCCCAACACATTAAACCTTCAAAAAAACACACAAGAGGCGACGTTTCGGGCAATGTCCATTGTACACAGCAGCGTTATAGAAGAACGTGTATTGGTTTGTTTTCTGCATATGTGGTATGTTCACACATTTTAAAGCACGTCTTACGATGTTTTGTCCTTTATTGATATCGGTCACTGGTATTTTTTATTATGAACATGTAGTCTTACATAATACGGATGTGACTTCTTTTAAAATCCACAATTATATTAATAGTTGCAGCCTTACCAGTTTTGCAAACTTTTAGAATATCGAATGCCCTGGGTGATCTTGTGCAATCACGCTACATTGTCGCCTTATTTTCTTAATACTTTTAATTAACAATGTTTTCATTCCATTAAGCATGATCTTTGGCTCGTGTTTATATCTGTAGGCCAACTTCTCTTGCATGGAAATATATGCCGTTGAGGATGTGTGATGTCCTCAACTGTAAGTGGATGGAAACAGTGGAATATCATCCCCAAGGTGCGTGTGTGTGTTGCGATAATGCCCACAGCCATACGGTGAGTGGGGAGGGGTGGTGTAACGGTTAGCGCTACGCTGCGCTACGATCCCGGTGACCCGAGTTCGATTCCCGCTCACGGCCAACACCCAGTGAGGATGATCAGAACCGGTCCTGGGCTTCACCTAGGTCGACACAGCCTAAAATGAGTACCTGGTGCGGTGTGTAAACATCGCCACTGGGGAGACAAAGGCGGCCGGTCGTGGTGCTGGCCACCCCACCCCCTCGTGTGCCTTGCTGGCCTTCATAGGTGCTCGCTAACAGCACTTGCCCCTACAGTCTGTTAAGGCTTTGCTGGGGGATCTTTGGCCGACAATGCCACACCAATCTGTTCCGACCACGCGTCCTCCGTACAAAAGATGCGAATGCCAAACCGGTTGGGTTCTGGCTGCGAGATCATTAACGCGAATGAGGCGACGCAGGGAGCCGAGGGCAAAGCGATCTGACTGCGTCGTCGTCGTCGTCAATGCAGGCTGCTGGAGTTACAAAGTCTTCGGGTTGGAATGAAATCGGTGCAAAATCCGAGTGAAGTACAACGCAGCGCCGGTTGAAAATCACACCCGTATGCATCTCAAATTTAGCAACAAATATTACCGGAACCATGATGTGACCAAACACGGTACAGGGCCCGTGGTTCGAATCCAACCTGCGGGCATGACCGCGTCGAGTAAAGGTAAGTTAATACAGAATTATGTAATGGTATATTCGTGCGAATGTAAATAACAATGGATTGTGTGTGTTGTGTCTTCCCAAAGGTGGGCAAGTGGAAGAGAACACGAGGCCCATGGGCTCCACAGAGAGGGGGACAGCTCACGAACGGTGGCCTCGAGACCTGGGAGTAAGAAAGACCTGGGAGGAAGAGAAAGAGACACACACGCGTGAAACATTTTGAAAATGATTTTTTGTATATTCAAATAAAAATGAAATGACCACTTGGGGGCGCTGTTGCGCTCATAATCCTCATGTCACGCGTGGGTTAACAATGCAATAAAGCTGTTAAACCGGTTTACACGTATGGTAGGCTGTATAATGGTATTTAGTGCATATTTATGATGAAATTTGACCGCTAAATCTCCAAAACTGCCTTCAAAATGGCCTAATATTCGCTCGCCACCAAGGGGCGCTGTTTTCGTAAAAAAATGCATAAAACGAAGTTTAACACCGGTAAAACGTATTTTAAGCACGCTTTTACGAAAATATGTGCAATAAACCCAGAATTATATATACACGCAAGGTATAAACCCACGGACAGTGCAAAAGTACTACGTTTTGAACTCTTAATTAATTGACCTGCAACTATTTATCTTGTAAAAAATATATAAACAAACTCATTATGTATTTTTAAACCACGGCATTAAAACCCGGGGCTTATTAAAACGAACCAAAACAGAAACTCTTACATTTCAACGACTAAATTATGTCTCCGCATTTAAATGTCAATGCCAAACATGTTTAGAAATCAAACGTGCTTACTTGAAGTGTGCAGGACACATTTCTACAGCGCTGTGCGAACCTGAGGCTTATCAACGTGGACATTTACAGCACCAAAGAATAATCTCACTAATCTCTGCTGCGGCATCATGCTTTCCATCTCGTACTCGAGTTGATGGTCGTTGGTTTTTTTTTTTCAGGTTTCTTCCTTTTCCCAGACCAAGGCACCTCAACATTTTCCCTTACACATTTAAAAAAAAAACATACGGAGCGTTGTAATTTTTGCGCCGTTATTTGCAGCCTGGGACGTCGCATCGTGTGTGTGTGTATATTCCGTGCGGTCCAGCTATCGCCACGGCGTCCCGAAATGTATAGCAGGCCAAACACTCTAAACGAGTGTTGCTAAATGTGGAGAGGTACAACTGGAGGAAAATCCACGCGACCACGGGGAAAGAGAGACATGAAAACTCCAAATATACAGCAGCAGGCGTCAGGGTCAGGTTCGAACACCACAACCTCCTGCATACCGGGCGAGGTAGTTAACATCTCGTCGCAGATGCTCCCACACTGTTCCCCCGCCCACCACAATAGACAAACTGCGATGTAGCCAACCTAATTATACTGCTGAGTGGATAGAGGCGTGGGTGGGTTTAAGAAAGCTGCTGTACTGTAATGATATAGTAATGACAAAGTGCTGGATACATAATTTAAAAACGACGTGAGAGGCCAGCCTGGGTGTGGGTAGAAGATAACAACGTTACAGCGTTGCAGCAACGGGGAATGGACCGAAAGTATGAAATACCGTGTCGAGACGTGGCTGTGTTAGATTAAACACGAGTGCGAGATGGTGCAAATCAGGAACAAGTGGGAATCAAAGCGAATCTTTACGAAGGAAAATACCAATTACGTGGGAACCGAATGTTCAAAGTTAAATGTCACGTGACCAGAAATATAAAAGGACATGAAGATCAAAATATGAATGTGAATGAGGCTTCCGCATGCTGAATAAATCAACCCCCTAGGTGCAAATATTTAGCATGCATAATTCTGAACCTATTATTTTCATCATGCTCGCATAAATAAGTTTTAATGGCTTGGACGGCTTTGTGTTTCTGAGCAATGCTGAACATGGTTAAAGACGGCCACTGCATTGCGACTTTTCAGATGTGCTTCTGCTGCCGTCTGGGACGATCTTCCTTTCTGATATTAGGAAGCCACTGGAGCTACGCACTTTAAAATTATAGTTTGTAAACGAATTTCGTTAAAACTTAAATTTTTGTATGTTTCATTTGTTGTCCTTCCCCCGCACCTCCGACGAGCACGGTTGGCTACGTACGGTGCGAAATAACTTCAACGTACGGCACACACAATAATATCTCTAAGGCCACACGCGCCAGTGTGCTTAAATCGAACACTGCCACTCAACAAAGCCGCGCTGATAATTTCCGACCGCATCAGCGACGGCGAGGCGAGTAGCGCCCTCTAGCGGCACAGGCCACACTAGAAACAAAGACCCGTCCCGTATAGGCTTAATAGATTGTTGGGGGCAAGTGCTGTTAGCGAGCAGCTATGAAGGAACGGCGCACAACAGCACGCCCGGTTCAGATAATCGTCGCCGGTGTTGGTGGCCGTGAGCGGGAATCGAACTCGGGTCGCCGGGCTCGCAGGTGCAGCGTGGCGCTAACCGCTGCACCGCCGCTCCTCCACAGACCACTCCAACACCAACCCAGAGGAGGAGCGGGGGAGGGGTGGAGCGGGGGAGGGGGTGGAGCGGGGGAGGGATGGGGTGAAGCGGGGGGTGGAGCGGGGGAGGCGAGGGGTGGAGCGGGGGGAGGAACGGGAGCAGGGGTGGGGGGGGAGCGGGGGCAGGGGTGGGGGGGAGCGGGGGGAGGGGTGGGGAGGAGCGGGGGCAGGGGTGGGGGGGAGCGGGGGCAGGGGTGGGGGGGAGCGGGGGAGGGGTGGGGGGGAGCGGGGGGAGGGGTGGGGGGGAGCGGGGGGAGGGGTGGGGGGAGCGGGGGGTGGGCGGGGGGTGCGGGGGGAGGGGTGGGGGGGGAGCGGGGGGAGGGGTGGGGAGGAGCGGGGGGGAGGGGTGGAGCGGGGGGGGAGGGGTGGAGCGGGGGGGGAGGGGTGGAGCGGGGGGGGGTGGAGCGGGGGGGGAGGGGTGGAGCGGGGGGGGAGGGTGGAGCGGGGGGGGTGGAGCGGGGGGGTGGAGCTGGGAGAAGGTTCACTCACGTTTGGTACGGGAAGACTCCCAGGGTATTGTTCCGTCCGGCTCCGGGTCACGAGTTGTCGGCTCCGGTTAAAATTCGGTCGCAAATTTAAGAAGAGTCGGTGGAGTGACGCTCGGAGCTTGCACACGAGGAAGTTTGCACCGTGCAACTGCCGCGGTTTGCTGCGATGTTTTGGCAGAAGGAAAGAAGCGACGGCGAAGTGTGACGGCGTGAACGGCATCGGCCGTGTCGAGGCGCGATTCTCCGATTGAACTTTGGCGACTTCTGCGCTTCCCATCACGCGGTGTCTTAGCCCGGCCCTCCCACCGCACAGAAGTGAGGTCACAAGACTCCACAGGTCACAAGACTCCACAGGTCTCTCTCTCTCTTGATGTGCAGGAGAGCCCAGCACCTTCGGATCCACATTATGCCAGGACTCATCTTGAGACGTCCCCGTTGGTCGCAGGTGGGCCCCGTAGATGCTCCCTCGCGTCCGTGCCGAGTATCCGCAGAGGCCTCACGCAACCACCCAACCACAACGCCTTCACCTGGGCAGGTGCGATGTGTGTGGGGGGGGGGGAACTGGGACCCCCAGCCACCGGAGTCTAACTGAGTCTTCGAGACTGACTGGGAGAGCTCACCCCTCCCCCCACCCCCGTCAACTACTCATCAGAAAACGGTCCCCGGAGGACAACCGAGGTTTTGTTGATGTTGTTGTTGCTGCTGCTGCTGGGGTCATCTCCGTGCCCGTGTGGATGCTGTGAAGGTTTCCGGCACGACGCAGGCCCTGGAGCACCACGTGGCCCAGCTCGCACCTTCCTCTGATGCACACAATGGGACTCCCCCCCCCGCCCACCGCCACTGGTCCCACGTGTATCGCCAGACTGTTGGGGCACGTGCTGTTAGCATCGTGCCGTGTCAACCCATACGGTAACCACCCCGTATTCTTGTGACAGGGAAATCGAGTTTTCGGGTTCATTCGGTGTACAAGCATGTTTCAATACGGGCAAAAAAAATATATAAGCGTATCCAGCTTTTTGTTTGTTTACCGTGGAGAGTTAGCTTTTCCCCGTAGCAGCCGACAAATCTGTTCCGGAATCATTGGCAACAATTATCAACATTAATTCATAAAACAGTTTCATTTAGTAACATGTGTTTCGTCGATGTGTTTGTGTTTCTCCCTTGTGATGGGACTTTGTAGGTTGAACGTTGAGATTTGTAATGGGCACGGCGTGACCATTAAGGTGTGAATTGTTCTGTAATAAGGTAGGGGTTGACAGGTATGTGTTAGCGAGCGCCTCTAAAGGGGCTGAACGTCACACGAGGTGGATGGCCAACACCACGCCCGACCGCCTTCGTCTCCCAAGTGCAGATGTTTAATTGCCGTGCCAGGTACTCATTTGAGGCTGAGTCGACGTAGTGGAGGCCCAGGATCGGTTCAGATGTTGGTCACTGTTTATTGGTCGTGAGCCGGAATCGAACTCGGGTCGCACACACACACACGTCTAGCTGTGCGCGCGCGTGTACATGCGTGTGTACATGCGTGTGTACAAACCAATATCATGTACCAATTGCATGGAGTACCACATACTTGCCAACCCTACCGATTTGAGCAGTTGGATTCTGATCATTAAACACCGCATATCGATTGTCAGCGCAACACATTTAGTTAAACGCGGTAGCGAGATGTTAACAACCTCGCCCCGTATACGTGAGGTCGTGGGTCCAATCCCTGACCCCTGCATATTTGGAGTAACCCGTGTTTCATGTTTCTCCGATTTTTTCTGGGTCCTCCGGTATTTACCCTCCACGTGTAGAAACACGCGTTCAGACTATGTTTGGCTGCTGTACATGTTCACGTGATAAGCCGCTTCGTTGAGCTGTCATTTGTGGGCAGTTCGCTTCTGTAAAAGAGCTAAGCGGCAGCGAGCTCAGTGTTACCTGGTCAAATAAATGTGGCGTGTGCTCTGAATGGAGCGGAGCTGCAAGTACCTCCGTGTCCACGAGTGGGAGACACAACACGGGTACCACTAATAACATTGCAGGTACAGCTCTCCGCTCAATACACTGGGCGTGAACTGCCCTGTCGTAGTAATAATTGCACGTTCACACTTTAGTTTACGCTCCTGTAAATTTGATCAGTTTTGATTTGCTAAAAAAAATGAGTTCGTTCGATTGTAAATGCCACTTGCATTATACACATTTTTAAATGTTTAATTTCAATTGAAACTGATAATGCATGCAAGGAAATGTACCTTTGAAGGATGCTCAATATTGGACAGTATTAGCTTGTTATCCTTGTTTTTTTAGCTTATACATTTAAATATTCACATTCAGCAAAACTGGCGTGCTGTTTCCCAACAAAATGGTAAAGTTGTTCAAATGTTTTCCTACGAACAGATTCAACCATTCACGCGGAGTACGACGGATAAAGTAACAACTATCAAGTGATGAGTTCAAACTCTGCCCAGGGCGAACTAAACCCACTGTGGACGTGTGGACAGATCACGGCAATGAGCAATGCTCGTTTGACGGGAAAATCTTTGCAATGCAATGTCACGTGACAGACTGTTGGGGCAAGTGCTGTTGGCGGGCACCTGTGAAGGCCGGCACGGCACACGATGGGGGGGGGGAGAGTTTCTAAATCGACGCCCGGCCGCCTTTGTCTCCCTTGTGGCGATGTTTACACACCGCACCAGGTACTCATTTGATGCTGATTCGACCTAGAGGAGGCCCGGTTCAGATAATCGTCGCTGTCCGTGAGCGGGAATCAAACTCAGGTCGCCGGGTTCGTAGCGCAGTGTGCTAACCGCTACACTACCGCTCCCCGCAATGCGGAACAAGTATCTATACACACACGCTCGTTCAAAACACAGCGACGCAATGGAATTACACCAGTGTACTTTTATTGCACACCACATGACCAACAGACACCCCTGAAGGCGTATTTCTACTGCAGCGCATTGCATTGCCTAGCCGTTAGTTAACATATGCGCGGTTACATTCAAGCAGTTAACGGTGTCATGATTCTTATCCGTCCGCATGTTACAAATAAAACCACTTAAATTGACACGAGTGAATTGACTAAACGCAAAACACGATTTGACACGAAAAAAAAGATGGAAAAATAACAACGTTGGGCCCTCAACGAGGTGCGCATGTGA